CCCCAAGTAAGACAAGGCCACATGTCCAGAAAAGCTGGGAAGACACAGCATTAGGATGGCTGAAAATGGGGGTGAGGAGGCAGGAGGCAGGACTTACCGTCTTCATTAACCATTACCTTTATGACAGAAACAATTTCAGTGTTTTTATATTTGCTCATTACATTATTTTAACATTATTGAGAAATAATTCACATACCATACAGTTCACTGTTACCAAGTCAGGTGTAAGCAGCTCTCTGGGGCCATTCCTAACTCATATGGAAATGTTGCTTATACCAGAAAATGATAACTGAAAGGAAACATAACACAAAGTTCAAGGAAGGCTTGTAGATAATCATTGGTAAAATAATAGCAATGGAGCTGGAAGTACTGAAACAGAGAGGTTAAAATGCCCAGGGAGTACTGTTGCATGATGAGATTTAGGTGGGCGTGGCCACAAGCTTCACCACGAATGCAGAGTCGGGAGCTGGGGGAAGAAACACATGTTCCTGGGCTGCATGAGTGGTCTAGGAGGCGTGCTTGTGATGAAATGACAGCCCAGCATCCCAGGCCCTAGAGGAGACACACAGCCTGGGCTATCAGAGATGTTCCCAATTGCAAAGATTCTGACCCATATTTTCCCCCCCGCACACATTCGTCTTGTTAGATCACGTGTGCTGGTTCCTTAGAAAATCACTCCATTGTACTTAGGACAGCATGTCCCAGGAACACACTGACACCAAAAACCTTGGCCAAGAGTCTAGAGAAACAAAGCTAGATTATGTGAGGGAATGGAAATGTCCAGAATAAAACCTGGGCAGGCTAAAGGGATCGAACAGAGCCCAGTGACAGCAGAACTGCAAAGCTGCCACCCTCCCCAGCCAGGAGCAGCCCCAGTGAAAACAATGGATATAAACCCACAGGGCTGGCCCCCTCGTTTAGCCCTCAGGGCTTGGGAGAAACGCACAGCTCCCACGGGGGTTCCTTCCCTGCTCATTCCCTGTTAGCTCTGGAAGTAGACTTGAGTTAAGCTCCTGGGTAAAAAGCTAAGAAAGGAGAATATGAAGAGACTTCCAGACGTATTCACACAAATAGGAAGAGAGGAACAGTCAGGCCTATGTGGCAAAGAAGAAAAGGCTTAATGTTTGTGGAGCAGCAACACACTGCAGAAAAGCGAGCCAGATCCTGGGGATCGAAGGACTTTGTTCAAATGCTGATGTTTGGGAGGGGCTTTTCCCCAAAATAATTCAGCTTTTTTGATTTACAGACAAAATTTCCTCATTTACTGTTTAAAGTTCAGTATGTTTTTTAAAGGTTCAACAAATTTTGATAAATATATATCTCACATCATTACCACCACACTCAAGATGCAGGTCCTGTCCATCTCCCCGAAAGCTTCTGAGACCTTTTTGCAGTCAGTTTCCCTCCCCAGCAGCAGCCCCCCGCAGCCTTTGCTCTGCCCCCATGCTTGCCTTTTCCAGAATGTAATGGAATCATACAGGATGCCGTCTGTGGTGTCTGGCTTCTTTCAGGCCACTGATGTGTTTGAGATTTATGCATGTTATTGTATTTGTACACTTCAGTGTGCTTAAGCATTCTCAAGTTAATGGACATTTGAGTTCTTTCTAGTTATTGGCTGTTAAACTGGTATATATAACTTAATTACATGTCACACAAAATCTTTTTAACAGCTGGATTTCTTTTTCTAAGATTTTTGTATTGGTCAGGTCTGGTGGCTCACACCTGTAATCCCACCCAGCACTTTGGGAGGCCAAGGCAGGTGGGTCACTTGAGGTCAGCCTGGCCAACACGGTGAAACCCCATCTCTACTAAAAATACAAAAACTAGCCAGGCATGGTGGCGTGCACCTGTAATCCCAGCTACTTAGGAGGCAGGAGAATCGCTTAAAGCCAGGAGGCAGAGGTTGCAGTGAGCCGAGATCATGCCACTGCACTCCAGCCTAGGTGACAGAGCAAGACTCCGTCTCAAAAAAATTAATTAAAATAAAATGTATAGTCCAGTGTTTTTTTTTAGGATGTTGTGCAGAGCTGCATTTACCATCATCAGCACTATACCCTGACTCAAAATTCATCACCGTGATGAATTTTAGAACATTTTCATCATCCATTAAAGAAACTCCATAAACATTAGTAGCCATTCCCTATTTCTCTCCCCTTCCATCCTCTTCATCCACCACCCCTACACCCAGCCCCAGGCAGTTACTTGTTTTTGTTTCTGTATGTTTGCCTATTCTGGACAATTTTTTCTTTAACTCCTCTCATCTGACTGATGTGTGCCCTCTAACCAGCCGGTCTCCATCCCCACTCCCCCTGGCTACCTCAGCCTCGAGTGACCACCATTCTGTTCTAGGAGGTCAGGTTTTTCAGATTCCACATGTGAGCAGGAACATGCAGTATCTTTCTATGCCTGGCTTATTTCACTTGACGTCCTCCAGTCACGTACAGGTCTTTACGTGGATATATGAGTTCATTTATCTTGGGTCTGTTCCCCAAAGTGAAATTGCCAGGTTGTATGGTAGATGTATGTTTCACTTTATAAGACACTGTCAAACTGTTTTCTAGAGCTGCTGTACCATTCTGAATTCCCAGAAGCAATGTATGAGAATTTCAGTTACTCTACACCTCGCCAGCACTTGGTACTAACAGTCTTTTCAATCTTACCATGCTAATGGTATCTCTTTGTGGCTTTTATTTGCATTTCCCTAAAATTAATGATAGAGAGCCTCTATCTGTTCATGTGTTTGCATGAGATTCATAGGTCTTTGGTGAAGTGTGAGTTTAAATCTGTTGCCCATTTTGTTTGGTTTTGGGTTTTTTGGAGACGTGGTCTTGCTTGTTTCCAGGCTGGTCTCTAGCTCCTGGGCTCAGTCCTCCTGCCTCAGCTTCCCAAATAGCGAAGACTACAGCACCCAGCTGTTTTGCCCACTTTTAATTGAGCTGTTTTTCTTCTTCTTGAGATGTAAGAGTTCTTTGTGTATTTTAGATAACAGTCCTTTATTTTGCAGATAATTTTTCTGTTTACATTTGCCTTTTCATTTACTCACCTGACACTTTTGAGAGCAGGTGTTTTAAATTTTGAAGTCAAAACTTATTAGTGTTTTCTTTCTATTATTTGTGCTTTTTGTGTCTTATAAAAATATTTCTTTCTCTTTTTTTTTTTAAGATGGAATCTTGTTCTGTCACCCAGGCTGGAGTGCAGTGGCGCAATCTTGGCTTACTGCAACCTCTGCCTCCCTGGTTCGAGCGACTCTCTAGGCCTCCCTCCCGAGTAGCTGGGACTACAGGCGCATGCCACTACACCTGGCTAATTTTTTTTTTTTTTTTTTCATATTTTTAGTAGAGACGGGATTTCACTGTGTTAGCCAGGATGGTCTCCCATCTCCTGACCTCATCATGATCCACCCGCCTTGGCCTCCCAAAGTACTTGAATCACAGGCATGAGCCACCATGCCAGGCCAAAAGATTTCTTTCCTAGAAGGTTTAACTCTTGCATTCGGATACATTTTGAGTGAATTTATATATAGGGAGTGAGATAAGAGGTTTTTAAAAATCTATTTTTCTGTATATGGATAAGCAGTTGTTCTAGCACCATTCGTTTAAAAGACTGTAGGTTCCACATTGAATTACTTTGGCACCTTTATTGAAAACAGTTGACCCTACAGTGGGGTTTACTTCTGGACTCTGTTCCATTGATTTTTTTAACGTATTTTTTTAATTGAAGTAATTCACACAGCATAAAAGTCACCACTTTAAAGTGTACAAGTAAGTGGGTTTTAGTGTATTCACAAAGTTGTGCAGCCCTCGCCACTAATTCCACGTCACTTTCATTATCCCAGAAAGAAATGTTCCATTAACCTTAATGCATATCTTTTCTCTAATTCCACACTATCTTGTTTATTGAACCTTTGTTGTAAGTACTGAAATAGAAACTTAGCTCATGCCTGTAATCCCAGCCCTTTGGGAGGCCCAGGCCGGCGGATCACTTGAGGCTAGGAGCTTGAGACCAGCCTGGCCAACATGGCAAAACCCCGTCTCTACCAAAAATTTAAAGAAAAAAATTAGCCGGGCATGGTGGTACACACCTGTAGTCCCAGCTGCTTGGGAGGCTGAGGCATGAGAATCACTTGAATCTGGGAGGCGGAGGTTGTAGTGAGCCAAGAATTGCAGCCTGGATGACACAGCAAGACTCTGTCTCAAACGAAAAAAAAAAATAGTGCTTGCTTTGGCAGCACATATGCTAAAATTGGAACGATACAGAGAAGATTAGCATGGCCCCTGCGCAAGGATGACACGCAAATTTGTGAAGCTTCCATATTTAAAAAAATAATTTAAAAAGAGAAACTTTGTTTAGCTTTTTCTTTTCTTTTCTTTATATATATATATATATATATTTTTTTTTTTTTTTTAATTGCACTTTATGTTCTGGGGTACATGTGAAGATCATGCAGGATTGTTGCATGTTGCAGAGGTACATACATGGCAAGGTGGCTTGCTGTCTCCATCCCCATCACTTATATCTGGCATTTCTCCCCATGTTATCCCTCCCCAACTCCCTACCCCCCACTGTCCCTCCCCTAGTCCTCCCCAACAGACCTCAGTGTGAGATGTTCCCCTCCCTGTGTCCATGTGTTCTCATTGTTCAACACCCGCCTATGAGTGAGAACATGCGGTGTTTGATTTTCTGTTCTTGTGTCAGTTTGCTGAGAATGATGGTTTCCAGGTTCATCCATGTCCCTACAAAGGGCATGAATTCATCATTTTTTATGGCTGCATAGTATTCCATGGTGTATATGTGCCATATTTTCCCTGTCCAGTCTATCATCGATGGGCATTTGGGTTGGTTCCAGGTCTTTGCTATTGTAAACAGTGCGGCAGTGAACATTCATGTGCATGTGTCTTTATAATAGAATGATTTATAATCCTTTGGATTTATACCAGTAATGGAATTGCTGGGTTGTTTAGCATTTTCAGTGTTGTTTTGGCAATTCCAAATCCTTCAAATGTTTATACAAGTTTTATTTTATTTTTAATTGCTGTGGGTACATAGTAGATGTGTAATATATATTTATGGGTTACAGATTTTGATACAGAGATGCAATGTGAAATACACACATCATGGAGAATTTATCCTTTGCATTATAAACAATCCAGTTACACTCTTTATCTTTTATATAAATTTTAGAATTAGCTCATCAATTTCTACAAAAAAAACCTACTGAGATTTTCATTAAGATTATGTTGAATCTCTAACTCAATTTGCAGAGAATTAACATTCTAACTGAAAATGATCCATCAAAACATGGTATATCTCTCTATTTAGATACTGAAGTTCTCTCATCAGTGTTTGGAATTTTCAGTGCACTGGTATTGCACATATTGTGTTCAGTTGGACCCTAAGTATTTCACGTTTCGGTGATACTATACATGATACTGGGTTTTTTAATTTAAAGTTCCAGTTTGCCCCTGCCAGAATGCCATTGACGTTTGTGTATCGGCCTTACACCCTAAAACCTTGCTAACCTCATTAGTTCTAGTAAACTTCTGGTAGATTTTCTTAGGATTTTCTATACTGATAATTATTTTAACTGCAGAAAGATAGTTTTCTTACTTTCTGAAGTATATGCCTTTTATTTCTTTTTCTTCCTTTATTACCCTGGCTAGAACCTCCAGAAGTGGGAAGAGTAGACGTCCTTGCCTTGCATCCAGTCTCACGGGGAAGTATTTGATTATTCACCATAACGAGAAGGATATTAGCTGTAGATTTTTCATAGACAGCCTTTTGAATGATTGAGGACATCCTCTTTTATTTCCAGTTTGCTAAGAATTTTTATTAATTTGCTGAATTTTGTCAAGTGCTCATCCTGTATTTATTGAGATCATCATGTGGTTTTTCCATTTTAATCTGTTTCTATGACAATTCATTGACTGATTTTTAAATATTAAACTACCTCGATAGCTGGGTCTTGGCATGTGCCTGTGGTCCCAGCTACTTGGGAGGCTGAGGCCTTGCTTGAACCCGGGAGGCGGAGGTTGCAGTGAGCAAGATCGCACCACTGCACTTCAGCCTGGGCAACACAGTGAGTCTCTGTATCAGAAACAAACAAAAAACAGAAGTAACAGCCAAACGAACCTCTGTGCCTGGGGCCACACTCAACACACTCAAATGGCTCTCATCGCACAGATGCTAATATCTGGCTCCGTAAGATACCATAGAAGACCCTTGGAGGTCTGGGCCTTTCCCTGCCCACTGGTGTGCTTACTGTTCCCCTGACAGCCCACCGTCCCCTCTGCTCAGGTCCCCCTCCCTTCCTCACCCACCCTCCACCTGACCTGCCTGCTCCTGGGTATCCCCAGAGGCTCTGCTGCTTGCCTGGGTCACCCTCTCCTGCAGGTGACTTGATGCCTGGTCCTGATGTGGCACTCATTGTCCCAACTGCAGAGTGCCCTCTCATCAGGGCTCAGCATCTCTGCCGCCCCACAAGGACTGTTGTTTTTTCTGTCTTTGGATGCCTGGCCTGTTGTAGATGCTCAGTATCTCCTGAATGAGTGAATGAATGAATGACCCGCCAGCCAGCCTGGACGTCCTGAGCACTGGGCAGATGATCTTAACAGAAATGTTAAGTGGCTGGCAGGTACTCCTTGCCTTAGAAAAACTACATCTAGCTTTGGTTTTTAAAGTTGGAAAGAGAAGGACTCAAAGCACGGCCCGTTGCACAGGGATAGGTGGAGTCTGATGACATGACTGCACTAGTCTTGCCCCCTCTGTGAGGCAGGGACCTGCTCCCTAGGGAATTGCCTTTAAATGGGGGCAGAGGGAAGGAGAGAGAAATTCCTTAACCTGAAAATAAGTGAAACAATTGTTATGTTAAAACAATACCAAGTTGCATGAATTTTAAAGAAAAACCCTGAACATCCAAGGGACAGGAGCAGATTCTTTGGGCAATTGTGCCCTACTCCGTGGCCCTCCTCTGCCTGGCCCAGGTGCTTCCTGGACAGCACAGCCTGGGGGGCCTGGATTGTAGGGGACCCACTCAAAGGACCAGTAAGGAGTTGAACATTTTTAAGGTGCTTCCAACTAGGACTTTAGTTACCCCTTAGCTGTCTTGTGATTATTGACGCATGGCCCCCCAGGAGAAATCCTTTTTTCCTTCTTTTCTGGGAAGTTGCTGAGAGCCGAGGTGAAGTCTGTTCACACCAGCTCCGGCAGGTAGGAAGGAGCTAGTGGCCTCCTCACCTTGCCACTTACGCCAGGCCCTTGCCAGGGAAAAGGTTTTCTTGGCTTGGACAGCTTAGGAGCAGAGAGGAGAGTGTCTTTTTTTCCCCATGTTTATATATACATTATGGTGTTTTTTGTTTGTTTTTTAATTAAGAAAGTAGTTATAGATGAGAGAAATGACAAAACTTTCATAGACCCCTCCCAAAAAAGTTAAATGTGTCACATGTTTGAGCTGTTCATTTCAGAAAATGGCTGAGTAAACATGATTTTAACTTCCTAATGAAAGAACACTGTAAATTTTTGGGAAAAAAAAAAAACAAACTCCAAAATGTAAAGCAAAGCTGCTGTTCTGCTGTTTCTGAAGCAAGTGGATTGGAGGAAGTGCCTCAGCCGGGAGGGCCGCCTCTCCCTGCTGACCACACAGCAGCCGCCTGGGCCTTGCACATTTTCACAGCCCATTCCGCTGTCTCGGGAGTGGCCCATGCGTGTGCTTTTAAATGCTTTCAGAAGCCAAGTATATACCCAAATGTGCTTTTAAATAATATCTAGGGTCCTGGGATCCACCCCCAACACTGGGGAGGCCAAGGAGTTTTAAACCCAAAGATGGGTGTGCTTGGCTTCAGCCTGGCCTGGCTTTTGTCAGTGGTTTCTGGCTGTAATGGAGCCTTTAAAAGTGGTTTTGCTTTGTTTTTGGTGAGGGTGCGGGGTATAATTGGGTCGGATTTAATTCATTCAGCGCATCCAGTTTCCTGAGAAGGGCCAGTACCTCCAGCTCAATGCCTTTTTCTGGATGTTTTGGCCTCAGAACTCGGGCTGCTGCCAGCACACACTGGCCAGGCGTGCGTTCAGGACTCATAGAAATGTGGCAGATGGACCCACTCTACGCAGGGAGTGTGGAAGCTCACTCAGGGAAACGCCCTGAGTTGCCTCCCCTGTTCCCTTCTTTCTTGTAGTTCAGAGTCTTAACTTCTCTCTCAGCCATTTAAATCGAATTTAACTTGGGATAATTATTCAAGCACTGAAAGGATTTGAATGCTTTGGGAACAAAGTAATTCATACAAAAAACTTAATCGGGCCTAATTTTGAGTTCTATGCTTTTAACTTTAAGAATGTTTCCTTTTTCCAAATGTGTGAAAATAGCATCATGTGTGTGCGCGCCGATGTGTGTTGGGGATGAGGTCCCATCTCTTTGAGTGCACTGATGTAAGCAATGGACTTTTCTGAGTTGCTTCCCTTTCTTTCGTCTGCCACCTCTGGCTACGTGATCTCCGGGTAATCAGCATCTCTTTGGAGGTTTAAACTGGTTTTAATACTATTCTTAGCGAAAGGCGATGCAGAAGGCAAACCTGTTATTGCACCAAAAGGAATTCTGCCTTACAGAGCCCGCTGGAGGCGGCATCTGGCTGGACACTGACCCAGTCCCCTGCTGTTGGCATGGGAAGCCGCGTGGCTACAGTATAACTTGTTGCCCAGCTTTCAGTGGCCAGTTGGGTTTGCGGTTCCTTTTAGCTCCTGATTTCATGTTTCTGGGCAGTGGGATGTGGGGCCCTGGCTGGCAGTGCCAACCAGCAGCAAGCCCTGGGTTAGGATGATGCTGTGCTGGTTTGAGGTCGATAAGCAGGTTGGGCCACATGGGTGGTGGTTTATTGATTTACTTTTTTGAGGAGTTTCACTCTTGTCGCCTAGGCTGAAGTGCAATGGCGTGATCTTGGCTCACTGCAACCTCCACCTCCCAGGTTCAAGCGATTCTTCTGCCTCAGCCTCCTGGAATAGCTGGGATTACGGCCATGCACCACCGCATCTGGCTAAGTTTGTATTTTTAGTAGAGACTGGGTTTTACCATGTTAGTCAGGCTGGTCTTGAACTCCTGACCTCAGGTGATCCACCCACCTCGGCCTCCCAGAGTGCTGGGACTACAGCCATGAGCTACTGGCACCCAGCCCATGGGTGGTGGTTTCTAAGCTGTGCCCAGGCTCCACACATAGTGGAGGTGGCATCCCTAGGGATTTTAAATTTGACATCTTGCAGTTGTATTTGGTGGTTATCTTTGAAAGTAGTCTCTGAAATACTTTAATTCATGCTGATCTATTTATTCTGCTCCATGATGTTGGGTGGTGGCCCCCTGGTTGGCTCTTCTGTGGACCCTGTGCCCCCTGGATGCGCCTGCAGTCTACCCACCCTGTTGTGGCTTTGCCTACTTGGCCTGGGTCAGGTGGGCCTCTTCCCAGATGATTAACAGGCGTGTGGCTTTGATCTCTGTTTATTAGCTCTCAGTTCTTAAATTTTTTTAATTTTATATTTTGGGGGCATATAATTGTGCATGTTTATGGGGATCTCACTATTTTTCTACCCACTGTGTCCAGCCTCTCTCTGGGGGACTTGAACCCCTCAAAGCAACCAGATGGTGAAGCTGCCAAATACAGGGTATGCCGGCCCAAGCCTCACCAGGGGCTCGCTGGTATCTGTAATTTCTCTCTCTTCACTTTTAAGTAGGTTTAACTTCTAAAATGATTATCTGAGAGCCGTTTGAACATTCTTATATTTATTCCCATCTTTCTAGAATATTCTGTCAGCAAACCACCTAGAGAATCACCGTGATATTTTGTAATTGTTTTGTGTTTCTTCTAACTTTACGTTGGATTCTCCATTTCTCATTTAAGAAGGCAAAACAGTCATATAAAACAAGGTTCAGTCAATACAACCTTCAGATGTTTCTGAAAAACAAAACACTAATGTATATTTATTCCTGTTTCGAAACTCAGTCAAGGTATTTCTAACCCAAAGGTTTTAAATGAAAAGCAGCCATGCTCTAGAAAAATGAACAGCAGAAAGGCACAGGTGGCGTTCCCAGGCCTCCCTTGCCTTCTGCCAGAGTTGAGACAATCCAGACCTTTGGGAGCACACAAGGTAGAAGAGAAGTTGCCTGCCATCAGCCAGACCTGGGTGTCCTACTTAACAAGCGGAGGGCGGGCTGGGACAAGCCACAGATTCTTGGCTTTTCCCGGCTGCCTGGGGTTTTGCCGCCCCAGGCAGAATAAACATATTTTGAGCAACTGCCAGCGTGTGATTGCTGCACCATCTTCCAGCAGGCCTGGAACAATATTCTAAAAGGCAAACCATTTACTGTGTTTCTTCCTGGGAACTCACTGCTTGGTCAGCAGCTGGTGTGTGTGGGGTCCTTGGTGGGCAGAGAAAGCCCTGGTCCCCATCCTGGTGCCCAGGCCTGCAGTGCTCACGGCTGCCTCATGCCTCCCGGCCTGCTCTACCTTGACCCCGCTGCTCTCTTTCCACACAGCCGGGTGGCAGAGAAGTCTCGTTCTTGTCTTATTGAATATCTCCAGAAAACAACTGAGCGTAAGGGAAGCCAGCACAAATCTGCAGGAAGGCTTTGGACAGACTTGGGTGCTTGTGGAAACCCTAAAGAAAAGATGAGCTTCAGCTTCAGCTTCTGATTCTGGGCTGTGAAGCTTGCTGAGCGCTGACAAGAGCGCACAGTAAGGGCAGCCCAGGCCTGCACAGGCCCTGCGGCCTCCGGTGAGCTCAGTCAGTCTTGGTTTTAGGTCACCTTTCTCTGAGGTGTAATTTACATACAACAAGATCCATAGATAAAGTGCACAGATAGATAGGTCAATTATTTTGACAAACGTATCCCCCATGGAACCACTGCCCAAATCAATACAAAGAACACTTTCATCCTCCCGGAGGGCCCTGTGCCCTCAGCAGTGAGTACCCCACCCCCTCTGGTCTGGTCTCTGGAGGTGAGTTTTACGGGCTGTCAGTGGCTGTAATGGGCTGAGGCTTAGCCGGTGCCATCCCACCTGGCTGCTCCACACTCCTGCTTCTGCCCTGCTCCCGGGCCTGGTCTGAGGGTCTGGCGACCTGGCTCTCTTGTGGGAAGGAAGAGGTGGCAGAGTTGGCACTGAATCCAGGGCCTGTGAATGTGCCCCCTGGGCTGTATTTGAACCTGTGGGGTTTGAGAGACAAGGAGAACTTGAAAGATTCCCAACAGCCTGAAGGCCCATGGTGCCTCTGTGAGAATCTGGGCTTCGTGGGATGGCCCCGTGGCTTACTGCAGTGTTTACGAAGTGCCTACTGCATGTGCCAGGGCACACCAGATGACATAGGGGGGTGAAAAGAAGAGAAGGCAAGACCCCGCCCTCAAGGAGCTGTGGATTAGAGGCGTGGCAAGGATGGGCCATGCGATGCCCTTGTTGAAAAGCCAGAAAAGGTGCACTCCTTCCCCCTGCGGACTCGCGACCCACCCTCTCAACTTGGCCTGGAGGATTTTAGTTGCTAAAAGCTAAACATTATTTTCTTATATATGCCAAATTTTGTTTTACTATTATTTCTTTGTTATTTATTCAGAGACAGGGTCTCACTCAGGCCCAGGCTGGGTGCAGTGGTGAGATCATGGCTCACTGCAGCCTCGACTTCCTGGGCTCAAGTGATCCTCCCACCTCAGCCTCCCAAAATGCTGGGATTATAGGTATGAGCCACGGCACCCAGTCTATTTCCATATTATTAAATTCTCGGCATAGAGTTTTTCATTCATCTTTACATTGTGCAATATCAGTTTTAAGTTTCAGTGCATGTATTCAATGCATTTAACTCATGAAATCACAGAAGTGACAGCTTTTCATAACTTATTCATCCATATTTATTTCATTCTTATCAGAAAATTAGCTGTTTTCCCCCCTTTTGAGATGCACAGATTCTACCAACATTGTCTGCCTTCATCTGCTGATGGAGGAAAGCAGAGAGGGGAAGGCACGGTGGGTAGCCCAGCAGGTTGCCCTGGCCTTCTGTGTCATTTTCTGAGTATGTGGTTGGCTGACATGTGGGTAGGGAGGGACATGGTGGAGCCTTTGGTGTCTGTGTTCTCAGAACCCTTCCTTCCTCCTTTTGCGGGGGGACAGGTTTCACTTGCATTGGGAAGCACAGTGGCTCACCCGGCCTCCCCCCAATGCCAGAACCCCCTATATCCTGGGTCCACCATGATCCCATGCTCCTGGGCTCTCCCCCGCTCACGGGAGTGCTATGTTATCCCAGCAGACTTCGCTTACAAAACACGAAGACAAAACGGGGAATTTCAGGACAGTGGCAGTGTCTGAGTGCGTTCCATGGCACAAGCCAGGCGGGTAGCCAAGGGGTGCTCAGTGAACCCTGAGGGCACCTTCTGGACTCTGAAGGCCACGGTGGATGTGACTGCAGCCTGGTGTTGGGGGCAGCCCAGGCCACTGGCTGCCGGGGACCATGGAGTGGTTGGGGCAGTGAGGGATGCCCTCCGCCAGGGGCCCCAGAACGTGGAGGTTGGGAAGGTGGTGTGGAGGCCCTGCCACCCTTGCCTGGGTCACCTTGTGTGAGTCACTTCATCTCTGCCCCAGGTTCCCCATCTACAACATGGGGGAGAAGCTGGGAGAAAGGCGACCTTGCTATGTGGTTTGGGCCACCAGGTGGAGAATGTGAGTGGAGCATTTGGCATGGGGTGGGCATGGAGTCAGGGCTCTTCCTTGAGGGCAGCGTTGACCCGTCTGAGCCACAGGTAGGGCCGCAAGTAGAGCCAGGTTCCTGAGGCCATGCCTGCAGGTTGGGGGCCGTGTGTGATGAGGCTGACAGCGTCTCAGGTGTCAGACTGCTGGCCACCTGCCCAGCATGTGTTTCTGGCTCTGGCTCCTGCTGCTGGCCTCTGCTGTGTCTTCTGAGCATCCCACTGGGAGGCAGCAGGGGCTGCCAGCACCTCTGCTCCTGCAGCCACGCCTGGAATCTGGGGCCATGGCCCTGGCCGTTTCTCCATCCTGCCTGTTTGCATAGAGCTCATTCCCTGGCCTGGCATCATGGGATTTTCCAGCGATTCCTTTCCATACTCAAAGACATGGGGATGCAGGGAACGGTCATGTCTGAGTTGTTGGTCACTGTACATTTTAAAGGTGGCAACACAATTGCCTTTAAAGTGATAGGGCATGAAAAGTTATTTATATTTGGCCAAAGAGTAAAATCTCAAGGGATGGTTGCTGAGGAGCATTTAGGGCGCCCGGTATGGCAGCAGGGACTACCAAGCGCCCGTCTGATTTCCCAGACCCGTGATTGTTCAGTGTCTTGAGTGAAGTGTGGAGAGGAGGCCCTGGCCTCTGATTTCAAAGGCGCCAGTGTTTTACCAGGGCCTGCTCGGATAATGGAAGAAAGGTGTTTTGCCAGGGACTTTTCCGGGGTATGCAGTGGTGCTGGTAAGGGGTCTGCCTTAGCAGGAAGCCCTTGTCTTTGCTGTAAAGAAACTAGCAAGCGACAAAATGAAAGCATCAAAGCGCCAACAGGATGTGGCCGAGCACTCCCTGGCACGTCGCCCCAAGCCACGCGGGGAAAGAGTGACCTTAGGGCCCGCCTCATGTGCACAGGCCGGGCTCAAGTTGAAAGTTCAAGGCATTTTGTTTTTTCACCTGTTTCCTACAGTTCTAAGAAACTTCTGAAGAATTAATGTGTAACTATATCAGACACTCGGCGTTTTCTCCAGGGAAAATAATGTTACAGTGGGGGAGCGAGGGGAAGTGGCTGTTGAAGAGAGACACAAGGTTTCCATGAAATAAGAAAAGGCCCCTCTTGGGGTAACATGCACAGCATTGCATGTGCTGCTCACTCCGATTCCACCATGTAGAGTGGCTGTGTGTGCTCAGGGCTGGCGCCGGGTGTGGCTGCTGGTGGTCACCGAAGGACGAGGGCAGCAGTTGGAAACCAGTGTACAGCCATGATCGCCATGCCCTTCATGAGGCTGGTGGGCCCAGGATCTGCTGGGGCCAATTTTGACATGAGATGTTGAGTGACAAAAGCAAATTCATGCAGCAAACATAAAGACAGAGAGAAATTCTTTGCCGGGCCATCCTCTGGACCAGGAGTTTCTGATTCTACAGCTATTTCTCCCCCGCCAGTGGCAGAGCCCCTCTGGCAGGGGCCTGAGTTTCACGTTACCCAAGTCCAAATCATTTTCCTTTTTCTAACTAAGCCTTAACTTGCCAACTGGCAGTATGCGTTATTAGTAGCTTGATTTATCACATGGAGAAAACAGACGCTTTGACATGATGACATACAGATTTTACTACATTTCCTCCGGTCACAAAGTTTTCCTATGTACAAGATGAATATTTTCTTGAGGCATCTTTTCATAAAGGTGGTTTTTGTGTTCGAAGCTGGTGTCTATTTAAGATCCTTTTGTAAATTGGTTAAACACAAGCCCCTTCCTTCTCCTGCTCTGTGTTTGCAGGCTTTTAAATGTGCACCAGCCATATGAGGTGGTTGTGATGTGTAAACTCTCATCACTAACTCTTAAATCCTGCCTTTTACACTCTTGCCACCAGGTGGCTAAGAAAAATATCAAGCAAGAAAAATCTAACAGTTATGCAAAGGACTGGTAATCACTTTCAAATTCTGCCTGGGTGATGAAATACGAAACTGTAGATGGACTATGCTTCAAGAACTGCTGAGTAAGTGACCGGCATTTCAGGCAGCTCCAGGCCAGGTGGACGCTCAGGAGTGTGTTTATTTCCTCAAATATTGGCAGTGTGAAACCAGATTTCACTGAACTAAAGCTTTTCGAGGCTCTCTGAGCCTGTTCCACCTCCGTGCTGTCCCCTGGGTGTCGATATTGTCCGGGCCAGTTGGGTTTGGGACAGAGGTTCAGCTTTGGCCTCTTTGATTCCAGAGTGGAGGGTGCCCGAGTCCTGACCACAGCAGACCTCCCTCATCCTTAACATATCGGCGTCAGGGAACGATGTCTGCAGAGCTGTTCAGTGCCCTCAGTTGGCTCTAGGAACCCACAGTAAAACTCTCCAGACTGAATGTTAACCTCTCCTGCGTGTCTTTGATTCTTCGTATTAATGGTAAGATGCTATAAGGAAACCCATGCACGAGGCATGATGATGTAGCGAGCTGGAACACGCTTTGTAGATTTACTTTCATGGACTTCATCTGTTGGAGTAAGGCCGGCATCCTAGGACGCAAACCCGACTCTCCCCCAGTGTTTCCATGGCATCATGAAGGACCATCTTGTCCCATGAAACAAACCCCACTCGTCTTCTCGCTGCCGGGTCAGCGGCTGCTCCGCTTCTCTGCACTCTGGGTTGCTCTTCAGTTCTCTCACTCACTAACTGGGACCAGCAGCCTCTTAGGTGTACAGCATTTTATTCATGATTCGCTTTTCTGATTCAAAGTGAACCCGAGCGCCTTAATCCTTTAATGGGAATTAATTGTTTCAGTGCTTAACGCTGATCCTCGCTCAGCCCCATGGGGACAAGTTTCTTCCTGTTAGTATCTCTGTGTGTTGTTCAAAACACAGAAAGGTGATGATGTTTTCCTTATGAAGAACTGAGAAATACCAGATATTTTTTATTGCATAAGTAGTGTTCTCAAACTAATTTTGTATTATGGAGGATATGCCTACTGAATTCAATACATAAAATGTAGAAAATTTTAGGTTGGTCATTCTGGCAGTCTGGTTTCTTTCCTAGAAATGAAGGGTTTTTATTGCCTGGTTTTCTTTTAGAGAAATAAGATATCTTCTGCAGAAGACAGATTTTCCAGAGTTGGAATTAATCTTCTGTGGCTTAATCACCATCATTTCTATGTAATATCACCTTCCCAAGCATTTTTCTTGGTTTTCAAAAATCATTAAGGCCACAACCACTACTTGATATTGCCTGATGGCCTCTCCCAATTATAATGTATTCATTTTTATTTTTTACGGGGCTTTATTGAGAAGACTATAGCTAGCAGATATTTCTAGAAGAAGATCTTGATAAAGGATGGAGTTGAGGTGGAAACCTGAGGAGGAAGCAGGGATAAGGAAGGGCCCAGAGGAAGAGGGAACTCACATTCATCAGACGCTTATGCCTGCACAGTCAGCAGTCAGTGGAGGTCAACTCTTTGGGGCAAATAGGAGGAAATGGAAGCTCAGGGACTTGAAATAACTTCCACAGGCCTGGAGCGGTGGCTCACACCTGTAATCCCAGCACTTAGGGAGGCTGAGACAGGCAGATCACATGATGTCAGGAGTTCGAGATGAGCCTGACCAATATGGTGAAACCCCAACATTAAAACAAACAAACAACAAACTTCCCCAAAGACCCACAGGTCAAAGGGGGTAGAGGCAGGAATTCAATTCAGGCCTGTTATAGTGCGTTGTTTTACATGTGACATGCACTCTGTCCCTCAATGCCCAGCTACAGAATTCTGAGGTTACCTTTCCTGATTTTGGCCCTGCAAGGGCTGGGCTCACACTGTATTGATGCAGCAGGGCTGACTTGGGGATAGTGATTTCACATTAAAGCAGAGACCAAGAAAAATCTTTGTTTTAATCTGGAAAAACCCCAATGGCTCACCTACAGCCATTTCTAACCATTACTTATTAAACCAAGCCCTTACATTTTATCTAAGACTCTGACTCTAACCCTGTGCTGTAGAAAAAACAAACTAGCATGGTAAGAGGGAGCAGGGTTGAAGACACAGTAACATGCGTCTCTCAGAAGGTGGCATCCCCTTCTGCAGTGGTAGTGCTGCCCTCACAGCCCCACCCAGGGGCCTGGTGAACCCAAAGAGAAGCCTGACATTCTCCCAGCCGGAATTAATCACAGGCACATTTTGGTGTGGTTCTAAGAGGCATCTGACCAGTGTAATAGACTTTTCATGTGTCCTCTTGGCCGTGATCCTCACAGCAGCCCTTGAAGATGGGCGGAACACGAGAGACAAGGAACAAGAGGCTCAAAAAAACAACAAACGAAACCCAAAACTTAGCAGAGGAAAGGAACAGTAATGATAAGAGCAGAGATAAACAAAAGAGAGAATTTTAAACAACAGAGAAAATCAATTACACCAAGAGTTGGCTGTTTGAAATGATTAACAAAATTGACAGACCTTTAACTTAAAAAGAGAGAAAGGCCCAAATAACTGAATCCAGAAATAGACGAGAGAACATTATAACACATCTTACAGAACACACATCTTGCAGAAATAAAGAGGCCAAGAGAATATTATGAACAATTAAATGAAATGGACAAATTCCTAGAAAAACACAACCTACCAAGACTGAACAGACCTACAACTAGTAAAAAGACCGAAGCAGCAGTCAAAAATCCCCCAGAAAGAAAAGCCCAGGGCCAAACATTTACAGAATTAACAGCAGCCCTCCTGAAACTCTTCTAAAGAACTGAAGAAGGAGGAACACTCCAATGTTCGGCATTACTCTGATACTAAAACCAAAGACACAACGAAAAGGAAACTACATACTAATATTCTTGATGAAGATTGATGCGAAAATCCCAAACAAGACATTAGCAAACAGATTTCAACAACACATGAAAAGGATTATATGCCATGGCCAAGTGGGATTTATTCCTGGAAATGCAAGGATATTTCAATGTAAGAAAATCAATCAATGTAATACACCACAGTAACAGAATAAAGGAAAAAAACACAATCATCTCAGTTGACACAGAAAAAGCATTTGACAAGATTCAACACAACTTAACAAACGAATACAAGGAAATTACCTCAACAGCTTAAGGTCATATGAAAAGCCCACATGATACTCAGTGATGACAGAATGAAAGCTTTTCTTTGAAGATCAGGAACAAGAAAAGGATGCCACTTTCATACCTTCTATTGAACATAGTCCTAGGAGTCCTAGCTGGAGCAATCAGGCAAGAAAAAGAAATTTAAGAGGCATCCAAATCAGAGGTAAGAAGTAAAATTACCTCTTTTTGCAAACAATATGGTCCTTTATAGAAAATGTAAACATTCCACTTTAAAACTTTTAGAACTAATAAGCAAATCCAGCAAAGTTGCAGGAGACAAAATTAACACAAATAATTGTTGCATTTTTATAATTAGGAATCTGTAAAGGAAATTAAACTGTTCCATTTGCAATAACATCAAAAAGAATAACATACTTGGAAATAAACCAAGCAGGCAAGATGTGTACACACTGCTGAAAGCAATTGAAAGAACACAAGTAAATCAAAAGATATCCCATGTTCATGGATTGGAAGACAATATTATTAAGATGTCAGTATTGCCTAAAGTGATCTACAGATTAATGCATTCCTTTAATGCAGAAAGAGGAAAACTCAATCCAAAAATTTATATGGAAATATCAAAGGACCCTAAATAGACAAAGTGATCTTGAAAAAGAACAATGTTGGAGGTCTCATACTTCCTGATTTCAAAACTTACTGTAAAGTTACAGTAATCAAAATAGCATGGAGCAGGAATTCCTCCTTATCGGTGGTTTTACTTTCCATGGTTATTGTTTAATGGGTGCAGAGTTTGTTTTGCAAGATGAAAAGGTTCTGGAGACCTTTTTCACAACTCAAATAAACTTAACACTACTGAACCAAACACCTAAAAAAATAGTTGTGATAAAATACACATAACATCAAATTTATCATAATTTTTAAAACTCTAGAAATTAAAAAGAAAGGAAATACAGAGAAGGATTTGGTTTATCAGATAAAATTCAAAACAAGTGGGGAACCAAAAGCATAGGGAAGTGTAGGGTCCTTTACAAACCATTTCTGTCCTTGCAGAGCCTGAGTCCTGCACCATACCTGACAGGGTCATCTCCCGTGGGCCTCGGGGTCACTGCAAGTGGCAGAGCCAGAGAGGCTGTTGGGGTCCAGCAGGCCTGGCTTCAGTTCCTGCTGCTGCCGCTCACCAGCTCTGGGCTGGAGTCCTCATTTTAGTCTCTTCATCTGTTAAATGAAGATAACACCACCAACTTTACCGAGTCGAGAGTATTAAATGAACCGAGACGACACAAGCTACTCAATGCAGGGCCCATGCACCCAGGGGGCCCTCGGTCAAGTCCTCGCTGGGAGTTAGCTGCCTTCAGCAACACCATCCTGCAAGACTCTCTTCTCCTCCTGCCTCTCTCCTAAGCCTGCTTGTCCACTCTTGGATGAAATATTTTTCTTCCTTTGCAGTTGAATCCCTAGAATAGTGAAAACAAAGCCCACTGTGTGCCGAGTCCTGCTCTGTCCTGGCATCTTACACCTCTTATTCCAAAGTCTGGGCTGCTTCCGTAGGACTGTTCTCAGCTTGGCGGTAGTCTCCCTGCCTGAGTGATGGTGCTGCCACCTCTTACTGAAAGATTGGTGTCTGAGAGCGAGCGCCTGCGCTGTGCAGTTGTCTCCCATGAGGCACCCTTTGACAAGTCTGTCTTCAGTCTCCTATCAATGACACTGTGGCTTCAATGACACAGGCCATCCCTGCATGTCTGCGTCAGGCTTTCCTGCAAATTCTGCCTCATCTTCCCTTTCTCTCGTAACAGCAGCAGGAAGAGCAAGTGCTTTCTCTGCCTCCCCACTGCCTGGCTCCTTCAGCTGTCACCAGCCATCCCCTCTACCGAGTCCTCACTCAGGTGCCGCAGTTGCTACTTACTGGCTTCTCTGGGGGACTTGACATACCCTTGAGTCACCTACACCTGAAGAAAACCCTCTCGCCATTCTTCTAAGCAAGCAGTTTGTCTTGTCGCATCCTTTCTGGCTCGCATAAGTCTCTCAAAGAGGAGGGGGCTAGGGCCGCTGCAGCAGGAGAGAAGATGGGAAGGATAGGCCCTGTGTCCAGCTTCCTCCTAAATGCTGCTCAGACAACTCACAAGGACAGCGGAGGAAAGCAGGCCACATGTTTCTGGAAGATGGAACACAGAAGTGAGTGACAGCTGACTTAGCCTGGAGACACCCAAAACCTAAGCTCCTGCACAGCGAGAGGCCGATGAGCAGTCAGCTGAGCAAAGCCTGGAATGCCAGAGGAGACCAGAACCGCGGCCACAGAGGCAAGGACAGTCCCAGAAACAGAAGGGCTGAGAGACCCTGCCGCCTCCCCTCATACCTGACAGAGGACAGACGGTTCTTTTCTGGAGAGCAAAAACGCCTTGGTGCTGGGTACACATGCCTAGCTGAGTGGTAGTGAGGTAGCACCCTGAAAACGAGCACTGAGGGAAAGTCTGCTGAGCTCCCAGGGCCTGTCCCCAGAGCCCTGTGCAAGGCCTGCTACCTGCTAGGCTCACAGAGCTCAGCCTCACTTCCAAAGAGTGGCTCAGCTTTTCCAGTCAAGATCATGTGTGAAGAAAACCTCTTGAAATACAGAGAAGAGGAGGAGTTAAGAGAAATTGAAGCAATGAAAGGAAGGAAGGAAACTTAAAAAAAAATTTTTTTTAAAGATAGTACTGAGCCTGTGAATGAACAAAAAGCAGCTTTAAAAAAAAAAAAAAGATATTGGTGGCTGGGCACGGTGGCTCACACCTGTAATCCCAGCACTGTGGGAGGCTGAGGCGGGTAGATCATGAGGTCTGGAGTTCGAGACTAGCCTGACCAGCATGGTGTAACCCCATCTCTTCTAAAAATAAAAAATTAGCCGGGTGTGGTGGCAGGTGCCTGTAGTCCCAGCTACTCAGGGAGCTGAGGCAGGAGAATCGCTTGAACCCAGGAGGCGGAGGTTACAGTGAGCCAAGATTGTGCCACTGCACTCCAGCCTGGGCGACAGAGAGAGACACGGTCTCAAAAAAAAAAAGATACTGGAAATACATATGGTGGCAAATAAGTTTTTAATAGAAGAAATGGAGGATAAAGCAGAATATGATGATCAGGAGGAAAGAAGAAAAGATAAGAACACTGGAGTTGAAGCCAGGACGTTCACTGCCAGAATATTGGGAGTGTCAGAAAGAGAACAGAGGAAGGAGGGGAGAAAATGCCCCTGTGATCCAGGACAAGGAGCATTCAGATTGAAATTCCCTGCACAGTCAATGAAAAAAAACCAGAGTCTACATCATCAGAAAATTCTAGAATCTGAGGGATAAAAGGAAACCCCCATGCACCTTCAGAGAAGAGCTGGAGTCACACCCAGGGCACCTGGATCACAGCGCACTGACTTCTCGCAAGAACTCAGGAAGTGAGAAGACAATGAAGAAATGTCTCTAGACTTGGAGATTTCTGAGGGAAATGATGTCTACAGTCATCTGCCCAACCACGTGATTAACCAAAAGTGGCAGAGAATATACTTCAGCAAAACGTGGCCGTCAGCCCAGCCGGAGGATGGGACAGGAATGAGGGTGGCCTGGACGGCAGCGACACGAACAGCCCAGACTAGAGCTGGGTAGGGAGGACCTTTTGGCGAATGGTCAGGGCCAGGTTCTGACTGTGCTCTCAGAAAACGTGAGGCTGAATTGCAGTCCTAGAAACCTAAGCAAAATGCAAAACAGAAAACCAAACTTGAAGCAATTTTTAATTTCAAGAAAAAAAGTGGGCCAAGAAAGGAAATGTAATCACAGTAGGCCCTGCGTCTCAGCTGAGAGCATGTTTACCTGGTTCTAATGCCAAAATCGATCTGGGGCTGACCCAGCACTGTGATGGGTCTGTTGGGAGGATGGCAGAACATGGTAGGAGAGCCAGGTGTCGGGCTTCTACAGTGATGACAGCAGTGGCACATGCCACATGTGAACAGACCACACAGGACATGTGCTGGTAACCCACTGCAGTCTCTGAGGCAGGCTGCTAACTGTGACTTCATTTTACAGTTGAGGAAGCTGAGGCACAGAGACATTATGTGATTTGCCTAAAGTCACAGAGTTCAAGTCTGTGCTTTAGAACCACTGTGCTCACCCACTTTATGGGTAAAAAGGCAAGACATGATTTAAGACATCAAGAAGTAGCAGTGTAAGTAACAATGTAGAGATAAATGCCAAACACAACAGTTAAAAGCCTTAAAAGCGCTGCCTCCAGGGAGTGGAAAGGGGTAGGAAATTTCATTTTTCTTGTAAAGTGATCTATTTCCATTATGGACACATGCCATTTTAAAACACTGCGTCAGGGAAAGCCAGGCAGGCACCTGGCTGTGGAGAGCTGGTCTGCAGGGTGACTACAGCCCTGCCTGGCTGGCTGGTCCTAGGTCGCCACCAGCCTGGGTGGGACTGAGCTTCCTCACCTGCAGGCGCTGGACTGGGCTCTTTCAAAGTTCTGTTCTGGCTCTTCATCTTCCAGCAACAAACAAGACCAGTGATTTAGAGAGCACGTGCTATAGAGACAACCAGACAGGGTGATATGACGGACTGAGTGGGCCCAGCCCCAGCTTAGGCACGGGGGGGGGGGGGGGGGGGGGGGGGGGCAGGAGCCACCTGCGCAAGCGGGGAGAGGGTGCAGGAGACGAGGTGGGAGAAGTGAGTGTACTCTAAGAGACTGACAGGGACCCTCTGGGTGCTGCACTAGGGACAGGCTCCAGGGGAACAAAGAAGCCAGGGGAACAGGCAGGCAGTGGGGGAGGAGAGCAGGGGGGAGGTGTGGCAGAGGAAGCGTGGATGGGTCTTGGGGCTGGGATGCAGGTGTGGGAGGGATGTGAGTCCTTCCAAATGCTGAGTCCCCAAGGCGGCTGCGCTGCAGGACCCTGACCATCATTGCCCCCCCCCCCCCCGCCCCGGGTGCTCATCTTTCGGGCTGGCTCCTCGCCCGCTGCTGTAGGCAGCCCCTTCCATCCAGTCCTCTCTCCAGACCCCAGCGCTGCTGTCAGCTGGGGACTTTTGTCACTTTCCTGTACACCCATCCTCCATTTCCCCAGCAGCTGACTCCTGGCAACTTTAGGCCTGAGCACTTGCCTCTTCCTCTTCCCTCAGCACCGTCTTACCCCAGCTTCTCCTTCATTCACATCTGGACTTTCCTATTCCAGCATGTCCCCAAGTCTAAGCTGTGTCCCCACGCTGGCTGGGGTGTCCCAGGGCTATCGCAGGGCCAGAACTGTGGAGTGCACGTCTGGCCAGCAATGTGTTTTTCCCAAGGCCACACCTTTCCTAGTAAAATGTGCCTGAAATCTGGGGAACACTGATGTTGCACAGGCCGGTGACAGAACCAAGAGGCAGCAGGGGCACAGCTGAAGAGCAAAACAAGGCCTAGACCCCCAGAGCAGCTCTTGTTTGCTGAGAAGAAAACAGAAATCCCGTGAGTTCAGTGTGACTTCTCCAAGGGCCATTTGTCCACAGGACTGGTGGCAAGCGCCAGTGTCTGGGGGCATTTCTGGCTGGTCACAAGCCACTGCTGGTACCTGGACAGCTGCCCCTGTCTTGTCTGCCTGTCCCTGCAGTCCCGTCTACAAAGCCCATCTCAAGGAATAGCCACACAGGCCGTCACCTCATGGCAGGGGCACACGGGGCAGTGGAGCAAGGGGCTCCCACCCCTCTCAATGTTCACTTCCATTTTTGTTTGAGTCACTTTCACGCAGATCACTTCTGTCATTATGTAACAGTGTGTGGCCCAGTCCCAGGCAAGTGGTAAATATTTACCTTCATGCTGGAGCCAAGGTCACTGCAGGGAGCCACGTGAAGCACCATTGCCCTCTAAGACCTTGAGAGAGGAAATAGCAGAAGGCCTGGCTGCCAGAGCTCCACTGGGACAGACTGCCAGGGTCCGAGTTCCCGAGAACTTAGGGCTGAAACCTGTGTTCTCACTGTAGCCAGATAAAAGGTGGTTACAAAATTATGTGTCCATTTTTTTGCTGATTTCTAATTTTTCTCTAATAGTTATGCAGTCTTCAAAGTCCTTTAAAAAACACTGAAAACTGCTCAGGAAAATGGCAGTTCTGTGGGGCTCAGACCGCAGGGCGGGCTGCTGGGACAGGTTTGACACACTGTCCTAGTACAAGGAGTGCCTTTTTCCAGACCAGCAGCGCTAGAGGGCAGTGGCCTTGCTGGACCCTGCACCCCACCACGCAGCTGAAAATAGTGAGACGACTGATCTGGGCTCGGGAGTGGGGGTACCTGCGGACCTGGACAGGGCATGTCTGGAGGTCCCTGCTAGGGCCTGGACAGGGCATCTTCTGGCCTTGAGCTGCGACCCTGGGGTGCAGGGGGTGGAGGCTGGTGTCGTCGGAGTCGGGAGGCTGCGCAGTCAGCAGGTTAGGCTGTTCCTGAGAGGCGGTGGTTTGTGGGCGAGGCTGGGCTGCCCCTGCAGGGCTGAGGAGCATCATCCATCCAGGTGCTGCGGGGAGGCTGGGGTCCTCCTTCTGTAGAACGCAGATGTCCTGTCTGCTACAGACATGTCAGGGAAGTCACAGATGTGTGCCCCTTTCTCTAGCGGAGGGATTGGCAAACACCACGCCCACAGGTTAGAGCTGACCTGGTGCTCATTTGTGAACAGCCCACAAGCTAGGAACGGTTTTCACGTGTTTCAATGATGGCCGAAAATCGAAACGTCTCGTGATGTGTGAAAACCGTTGGCCATTCTCATCTGCGTTGCTAAGTAACGCCTGATGGGAGCACAGCCATGCGCATTCCCGTGGCGTGAGCTGTGACCCCCCGAGGGGAGCGGCCCCAGTGGAGACACTCTGGGCCGCGCCCCAACCCCGGGTGCAGACGCAGAGCTGCCACCGTGGGCTCACCAGTTGCCTCCTTTCCCCGCAGCTCTGCCCGATGGCGCTCCTCTTCGTGTACGGCACCCTGAAGCGGGGCCAGCCCAACCACCGGGTCCTGCGGGACGGCGCCCACGGCTCCGCAACCTTCCGGGCGCGTGGCTGCACGCTGGAGCCCTACCCGCTGGTGATCGCTGGGGAGCACAACATCCCATGGCTGCTGCACCTGCCCGGCTCCGGACGCCGCGTGGAAGGCGAGGTCTACATGGTGGACGAACGGATGCTGCGCTTCCTGGACGACTTCGAGAGCTGCCCGACCCTGTACCAGCGCACGGCGCTGCGGGTGCAGTTGCTGGAGGACCGGGCCCCAGGCACTGAGGAGCCGCCGACGCCCGCCGAGGCGCAGTGCTTCGTGTACAGCACGGCTACCTTCCCGCCGGAGTGGGCCCAGCTCCCCCACCACGACAGCTACGACTCTGAGGGGCCGCACGGGCTGCGCTACAATCCCCGGGAGAACAGATGAGCAGGGTGGGCCTAGTCCTGAGTGCCCCGGGGCTCCGAGATGCTCCCAACTCAGCCCATGCTGGGTGAAGGCGGAGGCAGAACAGAGCCCTTTCCAAGGAATCCATGGGAAAAGGAACCAATATTTCAATGGCATCTGATTTTACAAATAATGTTGACATATAAGTAGCAAGCTGGTTCCCTCCCATCTTTCTACCTGATAAGAAAAATGTAGGATTTTAATTCCCCTAAATGGCATTTGGAGAGTTTGTGTGATCATGCCCAATTCTTCCTACTCTCTGCTTCCTCCTTGTCCTGTTGTTTTTGTTTGCTCCGCTTTGAGCTCAAGACAACATTTGGGATCAATGTGAAAGACTTGGTGTTGCAGCTAGATTTCAGCAGCGCTGCTAGACTGATCGTGGCCTGTAGCCCCTGAGAGAGCTGATTTTAGACGGCTGGGTCAAATTTGTAAAGAAGGTCCACAGGGCAAGCATGCCATGTATCAGAGTGTGTACAGCACCATTCTTTATATGTATTTTTTTATATCAAGCTTCACAATATTAAAGGTTATTTAAAATTGAAGTCAATGTTTCAGGAAATCAAACATAAAAGTGTTAGTGCTGTGTCTGACCCCCACTTTTTTTTGTATACTTATTTGATGGAAGGTTCTTTACATTCTGGTCCAAAAAAATAATGAACACCCACTTGCTGGGAGACACAGCTGAGCACCCGGACTCAAGAAGTTTATCTGAGCCCAGATCTCAGCAGCCCCATCCCTGCCCCCTGAAGGGAGAGCATTTGGGGCTGGTCCTTTCAGAGAAGAGCCAACGAATTAGTAATTTGTTCTTCAGGCCTGACAGAAGCTTAGCTTCCAAATACAAACAGCACTTAAAATAATTTTAGCAAAGCACGAAGGACCAATTACTGCCCACCTCCATCTGATAATTGTCAGCATCGACTCAACTCGGTGCGCAGCTCTTTGCTTCTGCTTCGCAGCAAATTCTGAAACGTATTCCAAGAATTTCAGAACCAAATGAAAATGCAGGTGCTGTGATCCTCAGTAACCTCGTTCTCTGTTGGGAGAGCTCACTTACTCTTCAACTTAATGGTAGACTGTGATCGCGAACTGCATCTGGTACAAAAACATGATCATTATTTTTAGCTTCTTTTGCTTAGTTAATTGGAAACTTGCTTCACAAAAAACCATACAAAGGCTGGGATGGGTCTCAGCTGATCAGCTTGTGGCAGCCCCATCCTTGACGGGGTGGATGAGGCCCCCCCAAGCACCCTGTGACTGCCCTCCTTGTGCAATGGGGAAGGGACCAGGCAGCATGCTCACCCTCACAACAGTGCAGACAGCACCCTAGGCTGCCAGGAAGCCTCAAGGTGACTGCCATAGGGGTCAGCCATCAGCACCACACCCACATGGAGAGCCACAGCAGGAAGGGGATTGCCTAAACCTGCATCTGCATTCCTCAGCACCAGGAGTGAGGGCCTTACTTCCAGAAGAAGGCAGGCAGTGAGATGAAAAAAGTCAAGTGCTAATAAAGCCAGGCAGAGAAATGACATGTATAGCAAACTTCCAAAAGGATCACAAAGAAATGCTGGTGGTCCACCGGCAGAGCCTGTCACCTAAGTATACATTGTCTTCATTCAAAAAAAAGGGCACACTAATATTTAGACAAACGCTGTTTTATTGATTTCAGTTTGACACTAGGAAATCTCACAGGAGAAGTACAAATCATACGTACAGCATTTACATGAATGAAAATTTCCATTGGTGATTTTTTTTGGCAGAATATTGGTCTCGATTCTGTGTAATATGACGATGTAAAACGTAGCTGCATGGGGGTGTTCTGTAAAATGCTTGAATCAATTGTGTGAAAGCATCACGCAAATGGCGAATTAAATTGGCTGATGACTGAAAGGTTATAAATCATTCACTCCAGTTCCACGAGCAGATCCCCTTCTCCAACTGTGTCTCCAGCTCGACAGTGTACAGATTTTACCTTGAATTGTTAAAAATGCAGAGGGAGGGGAGAGTAAGAATTAGTAACCAGAACCAGGAGGCGGTAGGCTCCTAATCCACTTTTAGAAATGCACAGTCCTGCAGGCCCAGCAGCCCAGGCACGAGCCACCCCACTGGAGCCGGTCAGAGGGACCCTGGTGAATGGGGAGGTGCCCTGGTGGCTCTGCCACACCCTCCCCTTTCTCGCCTCCTCTGTCCTCAGCACCCTCACAGTGGCCGGCCTGAGGGCTGCGCTCTGGCCCTTCACCATGGGCGCACTCAGGTTGAGGTGGGCTCTTCACTGCCAGGTGACTTCGAACCCCCAGCCTCCCTCTCTTTCTATGCTTTTAGGTTGTGGAAATGTTCTCTGCGAATTAATGGAATATTTGGTGTAAAAGAAAAAGAATAAAACATTCGACAGTCAGACCAGCTGCTGAGTAAGAGGAGCACTTCCCTAGCCTGAGCGCACCTTCCTTTTGAAGGAAAACAGAGTCCTCGGCAGCGGTGGGGCTGTGCAGTCGCCCTTTCCAGCACCATGGGTGTGTGGACTGTGCCTTCTTGTCCTACCGATTTTGGTCAATCTTTATCAAGTTTTGCTTTCCCAAACTTGTGTTCAGGCTCAATTAGCAAGGAGGGGACTGACGGGGGGAAGAGACAGTCATCTGACTTGGTGGAGGCCCTGGCTCGGGCCTGAAAATGAGCAACGGGTTGGAACTAATCGGCCACTGCAGACCTTGCTTCTTGGACTGAAGAGGCTGCTTTCCACGATGCTCCTGTCTCCATTTAGCAGCCCTCCTACATGACGTCGTTTTAGAGATGCTACGATTACCACAGTTGAGGATCTGTTTCCTTTGTGAACTTTTTCTCTGGGAGGAAAAGTGGCCTCGCAGGTAGGAACCAGGCCCTGCTACTCTGCGTGGGGACTTTGCGCCACTTCTGTGATTCCTGGCTGGGTTGGAATGGAGAGGCCTGGGGATGGGGAGAGGCGAGCGGAATGCACAGCATGGCTCCAGCCATGAGGGTGGAGGGAGACCCAGGCCATGAGGACGGGAAACCCACTGATGCGTGGCACCACGACACTTCAGGGAACTAAGGCCAAGTTCATCTCTGCATTAACACCTCAGTCCCACAGCACAGGGCCCTTGGCGTGCAGCAGACGCACCTTCTCAGTCCCCACAACGAGGCCAAGTTCTCATCAGGGATGGGTGTCATGACACTAGCCAGCACAAATGTTAAATCCCAAAGAACCAATAAAAGCATCTTTACATCAACAGAAACCAATGTTTTCTTGTTCACTCTTTAAAAAAGTAATTTAGAAAGAATTCCTTAAAACACTGCAAATCATGCCATTTTACTCTCCCCATCCCACCAAGACTCCGCAGCTGTCTGCACCCCTCCAGACCTGCTGCTGGCTCAGGAGCGCCGGCATACACTTGGGCCCCTGTTCTCCCTGCCCCTTCTCCGAGAATCACCTTCACTGCCTTCTGCAGTGACAGAGCATGAGACTGAGGCTGCATCTCTCTGATGCAAACCTGGTTATGAACTGATGGATCTCTTTGCACCCAGTGGTCCCAAGACATTGCCACACGCAGAACATGGCCAGCCCTGCGCTTCCTATCATGCCCCACCCTGCAGACACTTCCCAACCCAAACGGCCCTCGGAAAAGATCTTTACCTATTAACGGGATTCTTTTAGTCACAGGAAGAATAATGAAGTTATTGCTTAAAAAGACTTTTCTACTTTCTTCAAGGAAAAAAATACACTGAAGTTTCACTATTAATGAATTTCAGTACTAATAGATACTCCTTTTTTTCTCCCTAAATAATTAAGTCCCACATGCACATGGGGTTTTAGCTTCTCTTGATCTACAACTGAATTGTTCTCTTTGTAGAGAAATTGTCTTGAAGAGTTACATTAATTTTTGCAATCTATAAAACCGTTTCCTGCTGTGTGACCTAAGTCTCAGATAACTAACTGCCTCCAAGACAGATGTAAACATTAAAAATTAAAGACCCCTTAATTTGAAAGACATTAAGGTGAAGAACAGTTGTTCTTTGAACCTGAACATAATACACAGACTTTTTTGGAAGGCACACTCTGGGTGAGGCAGGGACGCATCAGGGCGGAATGGCAAAAGCTCCCAATCCTAGTGGCCTCCTCTGTAAAAGGGAGAAGGGAAGAGGGTGCCTGCCTCTGCGGTGCCTTTCCAGCAAAATCATCCATGATTCAAAGGTGGACGTCCTCCCTCACAGGCCGGCCGGGGCTGATGGGGCGTGGGGACTCACCGCGCCAGCTCTCCCAGCTGTCATACTATTCTGCATTTTCATGGCCTCGATCACACACATCTCTTGACCTTCAGTGACCTGGAAAACAAGAGTTTTAAAAGCTTCTAATTTTGCAATAATGCTTAGGAATGAAGCCATTATGAAGTTATCTTTCAAATGCCCCAAAATTTGTGTCTCTAAACGGCTGCAATGATCTCTAATGTTTCCTATTCCAAACTCATCTTTAGGGACAGTAGAGAAAAGCCATTCTCTCTCAAAGTCCTTGCTGGAAAAAAGTCCGGGACTTTTTCCCTGACTGGGGGACCCCGGAGAACTGGGGACCCTGGCTGCGGGGCCTACCCTGGGGATCTCTGAGTTTGGCTCTGCCACTAACAGAGGTGCTGGGAAATTGGAATGTCTTCCACTTACCTGAAACGTCCGGAAATCTTTACAGACAGACTCAAGGTTGCCTGGGGTTAAAGGGGGAAGGGGAGTGACTGCTGAAGGATACAGGGTTTGGTTTGGTTTTGTTTTTGAGATGGAGTCTCACTCTGTCACCAGGCTGGAGTGCAGTGGCTCGATCTCAGCTCACTGCAACCTCTACCTCCCCGGTTCAGGCGATTCTCCTGCCTCAGTCTCCCAGAGTAGCTGGGACTACAGGCACGTGCCACCACACCCAGCTAATTTTAGTATTTTTAGTAGAGTTGGTGTTTCACCATGTTGGCCAGGAGGGTCTTGATCTCTTGACCTGGTGATCCACCTGCCTTGGCTTCCCAAAGTGTTGGAATTACAGGCGTGAGCCACTGCACCCAGCCAGGATACAGGTTTTTGTTTTGTTTTGTTTTTAGACAGTCTTGCTCTGCTGTCCAGGCTGGAGTACAGTGACACAATCTTGGCTCACTGCAACCTCTGCCTCTCAGGTTCAAGTGATTCTCTTTCCTCAGCCTACTGAGCAGCTGGGATTACAGGTGCCTGACACCACACCCAGCTAATTTTTGTATTTACAGAAGAGTAAAACTGGGGTTTCACCATATTGGTCAAGCTGGTCTCAAACTCCTGACCTTATGATCTGCTCACCTTGGCCTCCCAAAGTGTTGGGATTACAGGCGTAAGCCACCATACCCGGCCTCGTACAGGGTTTCTTTTGGGAGTGATAAAAATGTTCCAAAATTAATTGTGGTGACAGCTACACAACTCTGAATTGACTAAAACCACTGAATTGTACACTTTCAAGGGCTAAATTGTATGTGAATTACAGCTCAGTATAGCTGTTATGAAAAACAAAACAAAACGGAACAAAACACCAAGAGCACACCTTTCTGTCTATAGCCCTGGGAGCTGGGAACAGCTCAGCCCTGGCGCCACGAGGACCACGGTCCCATCCTCTGCACGACACACTGAGTACCCACAAGGAGGCAGCTTCTGAAAAGGCCTTCCCCACTGGGAATGACTTCCAGGGAGCTATACACATTCCACGCAAGGAGACTGGGAGTGCCCACGGGCCCTTGCCCAGACTGCGTTCAGAGCTTGCCTTTAATTCTGAGGGGCAGCCAGGCTTGGGCTGGGTGGAAGCTGACCAGGGTTAAGCCCAAGGCTTCACTGTAGGAGTTCACTGTGGCTGAAAACCATGCTACACATTCACTTCGCTCTGCCTTGATGAGTCAGCATCCTGAGCTGCCCAGGTTTTTCTCTTGCCTTTATGAAAAAGGGCCTCCCAGTCTTTGAAACGGGCAAATCCAGGTTCCTAGGGCAACGGCTATGGAGTGTGGGTGGGCGTCCTGGCGTGGGGCTCCTGGCCCTTCACACCACCGTGGCCATGCTCGTCCAATGCCGCTGAAGTGCCTAGAGAATGTTCTTTCCTGAAATCCCCAGATGATCTCAAGTCCCCCTCCGGGCCCCCCGTGTGGCACAAGCTGTCTTGCTGGCACTCTGGAGCGCCCAAGCCTGAGGTTCTGTTTTCCTCTGCTGTTCAGGTGGTGGGCTGCTTTTTTTTGGCACAGAAATATAGGAAGAGAGAGGATGCCAAGGCTTTGGTGTTGGCACAGGAGAGACACCGCGCTGAGGAGCTGGGCCTGGAAGCGCTGCCCGCTCTGCCCTTTTTGATTCATTTTCACCTGGCATCTGCATTCCAGGGAGAATGAAGAATCAGCCTCAAGTGCTATTTGCAGGGGGATGGGAGGGGCAGCGCAGAGACAATGCAGAGGCCCCAGTCAGGGGCGTCAGAACAGTCACTCCCTCCAGCCGGCATTTTAGAGCCCTTTTTCTCTCTTAAAAGGCAGTCAGGGACCAGGGAAGCAAGGAGCAGGCCTGGTTCACTGTCTGCACCTGCCAGCCAGCTGCACACAGGGGACCCTGAAAGCCCAGCCGTGTCCTCTTTGAAGCTGGACTCACTGCGACCCACTGTGACCCAGGACTAAGCACTCAGGCAACAGGACCGGGGACTCTCTGGGAAATGGATCTGAGACTCAAAAGAATGTAATGGAAATGCCATCCAAAAATCAGGAATCCACCTTCCTGCTCTGGGCACCATTGTCTCTCCAGACGGAGGAGCTCCCTGGGGAATGCATGCCAGCCTCCCACACACCCACTCAGCCCTTCCTCTGCAGGCATCTGAGGGCCCAGGACTTGTTGGAGCCCTGTCTCCCCACCATGCATCTCGGCTTCTCAAGGGTGGCACAGCCCCTACCCCCTCTGCCAGCAGGTGTGCCCCTCTGCCACTTGTCCCCTCCCATCCCATCGCTCTGAATCTGTGGGCCAGACAGGCAGGCAGCTCCTGCTTCTGTTTTAGAGGATCTTCAAGTAGGCACATTAGCAACTAAAGTGCAAATATGAAGCAGAAATGAGGCCTGGGGATTTCCCAGTGTCATACCGGGGGCAGAGGCCACAGTTCTACTCTGTAGTCGGCTACAGTTCTACTCTGGGCCCGCCAAGGCCTGGGAGCAGGCAGGTGGTGGACAGGGGCTCGTGGGCTCTGTTGTCGCTGCCACTGACCCTCTTTGTGGCTGGCTCTGTGCTTCTAACAAGGGCGATTTGCAAGAGGTGACGCACAGGTGACTGTAAGTGCTGGATCCCCGATCGCTCACAGAACAAAACCTTGGATTTAGCCTACTACAGTCAGGAAAAGTGGGGAGGCCTGAAATTAAAACAGTCCTTCCCTCTGATTGTGAGAGTCCAGCAATTCCATTGAAAGGACTTTAAAAAAAGTGTGTCT